AAAGAAAAGAAAAAACCCAAAACAATAACCCAGGCATGCGTATCTTGCTGTGAGTCAATTACATACAAACTGTCATAATTAAACATTCATTATATTTAGAACCAGGAGATGCCTATTTCTAGGTCTTCTAGGTCATTCCACAGCCAACACTGGTTTTACATTTCCATCCTGACACACTTGAAAGCGCTAACAGGTGCTTTGAACTTCAGTCACAATATTTACTTAGAACATGTGCAAATCCACTCTAATCTAAGTAGTTTATTCTATTAAGATGTAAAGCATTGGATAGTAGTTTTCACTAAAAATCCACACATCTTTTAAAACCTGTTTTGTTCTATCAGTGGTGAGTCCACAGTGAATTCCATTCTTCAAGGGGTTTTTTGTGGGTGTTTGATTCTTTTGGTTGGGGTTTTTTTGTGGTTTTTCCTTTTTCTTTTTTAAATTCTGCAATACTTGAGTTTTCCATCAGCATTATGCTTACAGGTGTGTCGGACATATTTCAGTCAAAAGAAGCCCTGGTTATTTATGGGACATCAGACAAAGCAGTTAATTCATACACACCTTGCCAGCATGAGCAAGTAAATGGTTTATTAAAGCAGAGTCATTTAAAGAGCAAAAGAGAGAAATAAACTTTAGGCACACAGGTATAAAATCCTTAATTATATACTCAGGGTTACAATGTTCTTCACTGTAAAGTACAGTCAGAGGCTACAGGGCCAATTAGGAGAAATAGAAAATACCTCTGAGTTGGAATACATTGAAAACGTGCACTGCTGGCAAGGAACTGACATACAGTGTGTACTAAGAAAACTCCATTGGCCATAAAAGGAAAATTTAATTTAATTCCATAATAGATGGAGCTGGTAAAAAGGCCATTTGGTAGTATTAACCATGAAATAGTAGCAACAAGAGAAAAATTAAATATGGGGTTCCAATACTGAAATATTGCGGGAAGAAAGGAATGTTACATGCATATAAAGTCTTTGCTTTTAATATCAACATTTTTGCTCAAAAAAAAGTTCTGGGGAGAACTGGACAGTATGATGATGATGTTCAGGATTACTTATATATAAACTTCAATTGGCAGATTATTAAGAATACTTGTAAGGGAGTCAAATAGACAAACTATATTTGGGATGCATAGACAGCAGAACCTGTGTCCTAACACGTGTTTTCATTCAGAGTTATAGAAAAGAATAAAGATTTAAAATACAATAGCAAATACAAAATTTTAAGCATAGTTTTTCAAAGAGTTGAAAAGACTCTAAAGACTTCAGCAAGCTTTGACTGTGGCCTACAAAGTCTACATTTTCACAATTCAACAGGTATTTTTCTACAAAACTTTGCAAAACCAACTTCAGTCACAATTTCTAAAGTAATTATTAGAAACATCATTAAATATGATTTTGAAATGTCAGAGCAAACTCAAGGAAAATCAAATTCTAGAATTTCCATTTCTTTTTTAGTAAAATAGAAGCGGGTAACAAAGTCACTCTAAGAATTAAGGCACACCAAGTTTTATTAAAATAGCTGTAGAACCAAGTCTTGGAGGCCAACATTACACTAGTCTACATTCAGTTAATGTCAGTAGAAAAAAATCTGTTTAAAACTATTAAGTAAATAATACTAATTAATAAATGGAAAATACCACCCTTATATTAATTATGGCTTCTAGGAAACCAAACAAGTAGAATGCAAAAAAATCCAAGCAAATGATGCTGGTTTACATGTTTACCTCTTAAACAGCAGCTGAAAAAAGGGCAGAAAAGAACTATACAGCATGTTAAGAGTATCATAAAGCAATGATGTACTAACCTGGTATGCTCTGTTTATTTGGTTTGCTGCCCAGCTGGCATATTTCATATTATCCTTTTTCATTTTTGCACTTGCTTTTGGATTGGAAGCAATATGACTGGCAGACTACGAATACAATAAAATAAGAACAAAAACCAGTGTAACTACAAAATTTACGTACATTGAATATACTGAGAACATTCAGCATCTTTGCAGATCTAGTCCCAGACACAGTGACAGTGGAAAAAGACAAACGATTTTAAAAGTTGCTGGCAAACAGCATCCAGATAAGAAGCAGCTAAACTTCTTAAACAATTGGTCGTTCTAATTAAAGCTACACTAGACTGCAGTTCAGTTATGTATTGAGTTAAGAACCAAACATGGACATGATCAGTTAATCTAATTTGCTTTTCCTAAAGTCAGAGTTATGGATTAGTTTTCCCCATCCAATGTGTTACCAGTGACAGTACAAAATATGTCATTTGTGTGTCCAAACTGCCATTAAAAACATCACATTCTTCCCTGTGGCATCAGAAAACACATTTTAAAAGCAGGTAAGACTCTACATAAACTATGGCCACCCTCACCTGAAAAAATAAAAAATATTACTTAAGAACTAAACTCATCTCAGAGACTTTTTCACTTATATAAATAAATCCACTATGCAAGGAACCAGTGCTACTGTGCTGGTACTCTTCAGCGGTTCATCATCTTGCAGAGAGGAATATGACTTTAAATCCTTTTCCAAGAACGTACTTTTATGTGCCAATAATTACAATTCTTTGGAAAACACAGGCAACACTTAAGGGTAAGAGCACTTCAAGTAAGGAGTACTTACTGGCACAAAATTGTCCATAGCCAGTATTAAAACAGTGTTAATAATATGAACTATTACGTTAAACCAACGGGGGAAAAAAACCAAACCAGCAAATGGTAAAGGATAATACACCTGCATAGACATATTCAAAATGATAACACGGAAAATATATACTCATGCTTACCATGTAAAGTCCAAACAGAGCTCTCATATTTCTGTTGTTAAGCTTCAGTGCTTGTGCAAAATACTTTCTTGATAGCTCAAGGTTTTCAAGACCCCCTTGAGTGTATTTAACCTGTAAAATGATAAGCTCTTGAAACTTGCATGTCTTTCATACCTCAGGCATTTGCTCTGAAGCAAAGATATTATGAAAATTCACTTCAGGTTTGTTTCACGTGGTTATTTTAAATCAGAGAGTCCTACCAAAGACCAAATACTGGCTTGGGAGAAATCCAAGATTTTCTCATTATATGAATTTTAAATTACTTCACTATAGGAAAAAAAAAAGCTAGCATTAATTTAATTAACTTATTGCTACAAGAATCAAAAGTGATTATTTTGCACCTATAAAGACTTAAAACCTTGGGATAGTCTCTTATGAAAAGTAGTACAAACTCTAAAGCTAAATTCTGACTACCAGAAATCCACACTGACCCTGTGTTCCCTGAGCATGCAGGACACCAGTACACAAACCACCACAATGCCTTTCATTATGTATTCAACTGCAAAATAGCACACAAAGTTTAGAGGATTACTCCATTGATTTTCTATTCATTTTGCCAGTTATTAGATCAACAAAAAGAGGGATAAATACTAGAAGACACGTTCAGTCTTTCTACCCAAAAGCTATTTAGATTTAAGTTTTAATGTTTACCCAATTTTATCCACATTAACAAATTAAACCCAACCTAAGGACTTAACAGTACAGTTTAGAAAAAAATATATACATACTCTGGAAAAGAAAAACAAGACTGCAAATGGCTAAAACCTTAAGCTAAAACTTCTAAGTTTACCTCTAGTTTTCACCTCTCTTCCGCCAGTGCTCCTTCAGGCAAAATTTCGTATGTGGATTCCAAGATCTGACTCCACAGTAACAGGCAACATATCATAACCTTCTAAGTAGCATTGTTGTGGAACTTTAACTTCTCATGCACTTAATTTGAAAAGTGCATAAACACTTCAACAAGAAAAGTTCATTTAAAATGAGTTTTTATCTACGATAATTCCTGCCCTAACTCTTAGCTTAGTCACAGTGAGTAAGAAAACATAGTTTTCTTAACATGTTCAGTTCTATGAGATGTCAACATTCTCTGTATACTCTTTTAAATCTCCTAGGGAAAAATTAAAGAAACCATTTTCACCACTTCTGTAACATAAAAACAGAAAATGTAGTCAAACATAATTGATTTCTCTGAAAATACCTACTTCAGCATATTGCTGACAATATAAGTGGTTGTGTGGATTAGTCATCATAAGCTCCTCTAAGCAGAAGGCTGCCTTTGCATAGCTGAGGAATATAAAAAACAGCGACAAAATGAAACAAGAATATCCAGCTCTTTGCTTCAGTTTTTTTTACAGCACAATAAAAGTCTTACTTTCCCCCCATAAAATCGTGATTCACAATTAATAAAAATGTTTCATTTTTAAATTATGTTTGGAACCAAATTACTCCGTTTACATTATAGACAGGGAAAAAATACACCAAAATCTAATAGTCTGAGTATATATGGAACAGCTCATGGAAAGAATTTAATATCCTAATCTCTCATTAATAAGTGCCATTTCTTATCAACAAGAGTGATGAATAGAAACAGGAATCAGATATTATAAGGCAGTGAATTGAGACTACAAATTAATTCATTTTTTCCCTACAAGAAAATTCTGAGGATTCACAAACCAAGTTACAGACCAGAGCATTTACACTGACAGTTAACTTTATCAACCATAGAAGTGAGATCAAAAAAAAACACACTAAGAGCAGTACAAATCTATGTATGCAAACAGCATCGGACCAAATGGGCAAAAACTTATCATTTGAAAAGACTAGCCCTTGGGTTTTTTTGGTGAAAGCTTTCAGAAAGAATTTTTTCAGAAAGAATTAAGAAGTCAAGCTCAAAATGTAGGTTTATTTAGAAGAATCTTAGCTTCATAATCTTTCAACTAATAGAAGTTTCTGTAGAATTTGCACTGTCTACAGATATGTGATAGCATTATTCCACAGTTTACATGATAGGATTCTAAAATTCAGAGATGCAATGTTTATAATGGTAGTGTGGGTAGATATTTAATACAGCAGCAAAAGCAATTTAGATATTATGAGACTGTATTAAACCATGTAATCTGTAAAATCTTGCATCTTAAAATAAATATACTGAGGTTTTCTCCTGTGCATGATATGATACTCGTGTACCTATTTTAATTTGGAGATAAAAGGATAGCCACCAAAAGCAGAAGTCACAGTTCTCATTGCAGAACAGTGCAGAACTGAGGACTGTATAAATCTTGTATATCTATGTGTGCTTATGAACAACAATAAGTGCATGGTGATTTCACAAGCCAGACTAAATCTGTGAGCCTGATAAAACAAATAAGCTGATGAATTGTCTTCTTTTTTAAAAATTAACAAACTGCTTTTTAGCCAAGAGTCCAATTTTTTCCCCATTTAATCATCAAAATAATGATAATGATGCTTATAGAAGTACAGCGAGCAGAGTAAATTCTTTCAATGAACTGAAGAGAGTTTTATATATTATTTTTTATTGGAATTACAGACCAAGACTAATACAAGCAAAACCAATTTCTTTCTCAGGTTTTATTGCACAATTTTGTAATAAATATTACAGCAAAAAACCCCAAACCCAATAATGGAATACGTATGTTTGCACCACTCTATCATTCACTTTCGTACCGACAGATTTGACAAGCTTAAATACCTTTCTAGCCAATTTTTTTTTTAATAGCTATTTTCTTGGAAAAGTGGCTGGTAAATTTCCTCAAACAAATGGAAATCTGGATATCAAAATTCTAGATTATTCCTTAGGTCTAAGTCAGCATTTAGAAGAGTTTAGTAATTATTTTCTTTGAGAATGGAGTGGAAGGAAAGGTGACAGGGGAACAATTTTTTCATCACAGTGAGAACAGCTATTTCTTCCTTGACAATTTGATTCTTTTACTACCCTCTGGAAAGGAAGGAAGGAAACAATGTGATATAATTCAGGCTGGGCTGAAGAACTAAAGAAAGAGAGGAAAAAAAAAGATACGCCTTTGGGTGGAGGTTAGAATTAATGCTGTGATATTAGAAAACTTGCACTAAGGCTTTGAGCTAATCCTCTCACACTGGGATTTCCTCCTGTCACTACAGCAATAAAAAAAGCTAACAAAAACATTAAATATCCAATAAGCAAGTTACTACAACATTCAGCATTCTTGACTGCATTGGGTTTTGTACCCAGGCGACCAGATGCCTCTAACTCTGGATCCATGTTTTCCTTTGTCTTTTTTTTTTAAAGGTTACTAAAAGTTCTTGGAGAGGTAGGCTAAAAGAAAATCAGAATTTCAGATGCTGTGATCTGCTGATTTTAGAAGTAAAGAATTTAACATATCTAAAAAGTAAAATACATCACTTGAACGAAAAATAACAGGAAATAAGTGCTGCTCCCTGCTACACTCAAACCACTTCTTTTAAAATATCAGATTTTTAAAAATCACTGAAACATACAGGTAATTAAGTAAACCGTTCCCGTTTTAAAATCAAATGCCTTCTTAAAGCTTTTGGTAGTCAAATAAGGTTGGTAATTATTTCCTCTTGATGCCTGTTATATTGGAAATGAGATAACATACTTTGTAACAGTAGTCCTTCAAAAAAAACCACTGAGGTTTTTGACTTACATAGAGTGGATTTCAAATTAACAGTTTTTATGTGGACTTAGCAAACAACTTACTCATGTTCATTGATGTAAAGCTCTGCAAGTTCATGCCAAGCTTCTTGGTCTCCAACAAATCTGTATAAAGACAAGAGAGAAAAAAAGGAAAAAAGGAAAGAATGTGCAAGGGATTCTGTAAATGATCAGCATGGAAGCAAAAGCGTAAATTAAATGCAAATTCCATTTTAATTAAAAAGATTTATCAGAATAGCAAAACACAATCCGTATTTTCTTGTAAGACACTCACTGTTCCAGATACTCATTCAGCTCTCGGATGGCCTCGAGATTCTTCCCCTGGGCTTTTCGAATGGCAATCTTACGCTTTCTTGCTGCCTATGGGTTGACATTAATAAAGGATTAGGCCTCATAATTCCCTGGGTTTTTGTAAGGAAAGCAATTTGACTGTGCAAATTATTATCTCAATACCATTGGAATTCCATTGCAGAGAAACTGCTAGGTTGAAGTTTATAAACATACCCTATGACATCCCACTGAGAGATTGAAAACCTCTCCTTACAATCACATTATGTAGGCTTTTCTTTGGAGGCACAAACTGTATGCATTATTTCATTCAAATAAATGACTGTCCAGATTCTGATAATTACAAAACAGCAGGGGATGCTAATCTTCAGCCATTCCAAAGACCCCCACCTTTTCATTCACAAGATCCATGCCTATACAGGAGAAATGGCCACTGAGTCTTAGAGAATCCCACAGATGCATCTGGGTTTCCATAGCATAAGTATGGCTTCCAGCCATTTAAAAATATTCTTGTTGGAGTGCTGAATGCCATCTTTAATTAATGTTAAATACACACCAATTTCCTAAACAAGTCTCTCATCGTTCTTGGAGCAGAAAGCAGACTCTGCAATGTAAAGGGAATACAAAATAGCCATTTCAATGGCAAAACCTGAGCAGTGCTTTGATATGTGGGTGGAACATGTTTTTATATTATTTAAATTGAAATATAAGTTATAAGAATTACAATATATTTAAGTTTTGAAGTCCATAAATGTTGTTACAGACCACCAGGAGAAAAGATATACAGAATTCTTATAGTTGATTATTCTGTACTCCAATCCAATACTCCAGCTTCTGAAGGATGTTGGTTACAGTTTTCAGGCCTCTAGGCTGTGAATCTTACAGACTATTCTGAGTTGGAGGGGACACACAAGGATCAAGTCCAGCTCAGAAGTGAATGGCCCATAAAGGGATCAACTCCACAGCCTTGGTGTTATTAGCACCATGCTCTAAACAACTGAGAATCAAGATGCACTTAAGGTGTGATTCAAAACAACAGAAATCTTCCCAGTTCGGAGCAAAGAGCACCACACCTTGGCCAGCCTGAAAGTCATCAGATCGGGAATCTGACAGAATGAAAGTAAAATCAAATTCTGGCATAACATGCCTCAAACAAACACCATCAAGCCTCCTGCCTCAGCAATAACCCCTGCTCTCCTGGGTGATCACAAACACCGCAGTCAGACGTGAGATGCCATTTCTCCATGAGATAACATTAATGACAAAAAAATATAAAGCACACTTTTCTGGTAACTAAGGTCCACTGCTTATTCCCTTCATAGCTCTCATCCTATTTCATATGCTAATAAAGAGTTTATACAGTTGGGTATCACCTTACAGAAGCCTTGATAGCACGGGAGTGGACAACTCTTTAGCAAAATCCTATATTATTTTAATATTTGAATTTCAGATAGCTCTGAAATCAATTTCTTCATGATGTACCTTAAGTTCACAGCCACATATACCCCGAAAGAGTTCTTTTATTTTTACAGTATTTTAAACATAACTACAGTCCTAAATAATTTCTTATCCTCTGATCATCATTTGAACAAGTCAACTGCTTCCAAAAGAGGAGAGTGGCAAACTAGTTCAGGTATCAAAATAGCCCAGATAGAAATGCTTTTAACACTGATTCTAGGTTTATTCTTTCCTTTGAGTTCACCCCCTTTACTTCCCCCATGAACACCTATTCGATAAAAATTCGGTGAAAACAACTCAACATCACTCTTCTGCTTAAACGTAAGGCACACACAGGGAAAAGACTCATCAGAACAACCAGGGGACAAATCAGGACACAGGCAGTGTAGTGAGTTTATCCACGGTCATTTTTTTTCCCCACTGTTTCTTTGTCAAACTGCAACCTGTGAAGTTACATACACCATTCTACTTTTACTGGTAGACACTTGGCTAAAAGCCATAAATGGAAATTTTAACTGCTGACACATCACTGTAACAACACACACGGATTATTTTTGCTTTTTCTTTATTTAAATAAAGATAACAGCATAATTAAACTTATTTTGATCTCAGAGGTCTTTTCCAACCTGGTTGATTCTATGATTCTATGATTTTCTTTAAATACAAAAAGAATAATCCCAAATACTTATCATATTGCTATTACTAAACAAAACCACAAAGTAACAACAACAACAAAAAAAAAACCCGATCAAAACCATTGTTCTCTATCACGTTTTATGAAGAGTTCTCACAGCGTTTCGTAAAGCAGGTCACCCCCTTGCTACAGGGGGAACACCAGGGCAGTGTTAACTCACTACCCAAAGCTGGTATTATCCACAGCCCAGTGACCTGCTCACTGAGCCCAAAACAGGAGAGAAGGAAAAGTGGGGATAACAGCCTGCACAGCCACAGGAGTGTATCATGCAGCTAAAGCCTATGGAGACAGGTTTTTTTGCAGGTAACAGGCTATCGACTTTAAAATATAGCTCTTGGATTAACAATTCGCTTGTTATTTTCAAAATTTAAAGAAAAAGAAATCAACAGTGACCACAAGTAAACTCTTGAGAGCTAAAATAATCTATTAAATATATAAAATCAATCAACTCATATGACAACTTAATTTGCAACGGCAAACAGGACCAGTCTACATAAGTCACCCTCCTCTTTGTTACTGAGGCAACTCCTTCAATCACATCCAAGTCAGTCCTCCAAAAGAGCCTGGAAACAGATTTTTCTCCATGGCTGCTTTATTTCTTATGCACAGCACTCCCAAGTAACATAAATCACTGGAGCCTCAAGACGTTAATTTATGAAAAGCTACAACTATTTCTAGTCACAAATATAAACTGATGTTTACCTATAGCAAGCATGTCATCTAATGCAATCAAATAATCAGGACAGAAGCATTAGACATAATTAACATGTTCTGGTGGTAGCACTTAGGAGTTAAACGAATTACATATACATTTGACAGAATTTCCCCACTGCACCAAATCCCAGAAAAATTTCTTCCAAATTACACTTTTGTTTCTTATTTGAGGAAAAATAGTATTTAAACTTCCTTTTTTATCCACCTTCCTTATCACCAAAAACAAAGCAGCATCTGGGCTTTAAATCTGCGCTCTCGTCACCCTAAAAACGCTGGGATAATTTTATTTACAGAGAACTCTGAGTTTGCAAAAGAGAGGCTCAACCACTTACAACAGTGCTGATAAACAGAGGAGCAAAAAATGTTGTATAGCAGCATAGAATTTTTTAAAGTCTCTTTAAACACTCTGGAAACAAGTCAGTGAGGATGTAGAGGTTATTTTAAAGCAATTTGTAACATTTTCCCATCACATAAATAAAACCATAAAGCCAAGATACATACAATAAATCTGAAGTATTCAGATCTCTGATTCACAGGAGTGATATGACAGGTGAAAAAACAAACACATGAAAACAAACTACTATTGCTTTCATTTGTATTCACAGACTATTCTCCCACCTGACTTCCTAGTTTTTCTTTGAATCACAAAGTCTAGCAGGTTTTCTTAAAATAACAACTCCAAATTCAATGACTCCAGTAGTCAATACTTTAAGAAAAATATATACAACAAGGCCTGCACTACAAGCAAAACATGCACTGTTTTGTGTGCTGCAGACTTCTAATTCTTGTTCTGATTTATATTGCCCCTGAGCTCCCTGTGTGCATCAGCTTAAGTGCTGCTCTGTGAGTTGGGGCTCACACACGGTGTGCTTGCAGAGCATCCTGAGGACAGCAGCATAACCAATGAGGATTTACACACACAGCATCAATTTTTATTTCCATACAAATTAAAAAAAAAAGGCTTTACTGAGCAAAACCACTGCCAACACTAATAACCACTTTACCAGACAAAACCAGTTATTTGATAAGAAAAGCCAGACTCCTACGAATTCTACAGAAGCTTTACCTAGCATTTATTTAATGTATCCAATTTATTATCTGCCTTACAGCCAGCTGATATAAGAAAACCAGGTAATTTCATGTTTTATTATGTTTAAGGCCCTTTTTACCAAAACCCTCACATTACAAAATACAAATTCACTTTTAGGGTACCTGTTGCAAGATACTAAAAAACTACAAAATGCAGAGTTCAAATCTGTTCAATCATTAATTTCAAGTCCACCAAGAATATCAATGAGAAATTTATTTTTAATTATAGGGATGTGAGATTATTTTGAAATCTAAGAAGCCTACTAAAATAGTCACAACAATTGCACTGATAAAGATAAAAAAATAACATTCCAGAGGTTCATTTCAGTTCTTCACAATAGTAACATTTTTAAGAACAAGCCTCATACAAAAATTAACTCAATCTCCCTTCTCCTTCTACTTTAAGTGAAAAGGAAAAGGTGAAACTTTCTGTGCTATAACAAGATCTGCAGTTTTTGACCATGCAAATCCTACGACATGAATTTCCCCCTAACAATTTTCCAGAGTTTAAAAAAGTCACTAGAATGGTTATTGGTTGATTCTGTAAATGCAGAATTCTTAACTGAAAGATATATGCATCTTAAAGAAATACTTACACTGTAATTAGTATCATATGGACTAATGAACTTCAGTATGTACATATTTATTAAACAGTGAACCTTTCTAAGCTATTTCTTTTAAAGACTAATAATCCTCAATCTGGCACAAGAACTAATCCTATATTTGTCATGATTCCTTTTAATTATCATTAAGTAGACTCAGAATGAAGTGAGGACTTGAACATTTATCAACTTCTGCATTTTATCAGTAAAACATACCAACGGAAAGTCTAAGAGTGTTCTAAATTTCATGGTTGCAAAGAAAGTACCAGTAGGAGAACCTTCAGGGACTGATAGGTGTAAGAAAGAAACAATTTCCTATCTGTGTAACTATTAGAGCATTAAACAAATCATTTTTCATCTTGAAAAGAAATTTTTCATTTTTTTAACATTTTAAAAAATGTGTATTTGATCCAAGAGTTTGATACATTGAAATATTTTCCTTCGAACTGCAATATGCAAATCAAAACAGAAGTGTCAACAACTACAACAAAGATATCAAAAAATACCACATAATC